TTGAATGTTGCTAATTTCATATTTTCTTTTTATATTTTCTAACTCTGGAATATCATAGCTGTATAATAAATCGTATTTTATTTCTTTACATTTTAGATTTTTTTACGTAGTTTTGCGTTATTAATAAAGTAGTATAAATGTAGTTTAGAAGAAAAGGCCTAAAATTTCTAATTAATGACGAGACTGATTTGGAAGATTCATCACGGGTCAAAAATTCAAAATCAACGGAGAAATACACACAACCCCGACGAAAAAGCCCTAGCCTACAAAATTTACCTTAAAGCCACCTTCAGAACTCCCAGCAAACCCCATGTTGACGAACAGTTCAAACGCGGGATCGAACAAAACGTCCTTCAGACACTTTCCGCCCCAGAACCACCTTTGGATGTCAAAAACTTCCTCACATCCCCATTGACCCTCCAAAACACGGCCTGATTCCATGCACAGAAGAACGTTAAAGCATCTTTCTAAAACCATATTTCTAATCTTCACCCTTCTCCTTAACTACTGTCTTCCCCTCTTTCTCATATTTTTCACTTGCCTGGAAAACCGCTAACACCATGTTGATCCCCAAACCAGGCAAAGACTCCAAATCCATAAATTCACACAGGCCCAACTCTTTCAAATCAGCCCCACTGAGCTTCGTCTTGGCCTCTCTCCTCTACCTTATATACACCCACGACATCCCTCCTCAAAACCACCCATTGTCCAAATGCCTGCTATAAGCCGACGATACAGCTCTACTCTCGGTAGCCAAAATCTGTAAAACCAGTATTCTCGCTGATATAGCAAATAGAGTGTCTCAATGAATCCACAAAAAAACACAATCATCTTTAAACATCCAAATTCTTAAAACACCTCCCAGATACCCCAACTCGTAAATGTAAATCTCCTGGGAGTCAGGCTCACTCAACAGACTATTGACTATTTGGGAGTACAATTCTCTCGTACAATCAAATTGTCCTCAAATTGTATTGTATTGTATATTGTATAATATTGTATTGTAATTGGTATAATGTTTCTTATGTAATCGAAGTATTGTCTAGTGGTATGCAAGGATCCCGTTATGGTCCTGTTCTTTTTATTCTATATGTGAATGACAATGCCCATTGTATAAAAAAAGTCTCAGTTCTATTTGCAAATGTCTGAAAATCGTTAGAACTTTAGAAAGTATCTGATTGTTTCGAACTACAAACTATTAAAAACAATGTAACATTATAATGTAATGTAAATTCCAAGAAGTTTATAATAAAAATGTAATATAATAATTTCATTTAGAAAAGCTATGATAATTGTAATAAAATTTCATCCTCTTTAGAATGTGATAAGACATTTTCTTCATCGTCTCCACGGTCATCATCAGTGTCATGAATATACCATGGCTATGAAGCTGGACGAGTCCAGATTTAAACAAATCTGCTGCTTCTTTAGGGAAGTGCTGCAGGTTCTTTCTTTTTAATTTTCGTTTGCTCGTGATTACAAGGTCGAAACTAAGTAAAAACGAATTAAAGACATCCTCATTAGTTTTCTCTGTTAATTGGTCTCTAGGCAATAAAGCAGAAGATATTATTTCAGGCCCATGAATAAAATATTTGTGCAATGTCGGAGGCATATTGACCGTGGGTACTTTTTAACAAAGTATCTAACGGTGTTGTGAGCAAATTCTATTAATTCATTCTTTCCAGAACTTCTCATGATATTAAGAAATCTCTTTCTCGATAAAAACATAGTGGTCGGAAAGTATATTTACATACCCACCAATCGTTAGAACTTTAGAAAGTATCTGATTGTTTCGAACTACAAACTGTTAAAAACAATGTAACATTATAATGTAATGTAAATTCCAAGAAGTTTATTTTAAATAAATGTTTTTATATTAGATTTAACACATGCCATATTAATATAGACTCTCATTATTGTGTCAATTCATTGTAGCTTGAATTGGTAACTCCAATTTTAATATTTACTTCTTCAAAACACGGTGCAAGTATTTCATTAAAAAAACTTTTTCTATACAGGGTGTACCAATAAAAACTCCCAGGCCGGATATTTTGGTAAGTAATAGAGATATTTTAATTCTGTAAAAGCCAGTTCACAGAGCACTGAGAGAGCTTTGGTTTTACATATAAATTGATTTTAAATAGGTCGATATATAGATGGCGCTGCGCTCAATAATTTTATTTCGATGGAAGGATCTTTCTTGTGTAGCGCATCTTGTAAAAAATGCATTTTTAGGCAGATTTTGTTTTATGAACTAATTTGATAAATCTAGCCATTTTTGATATACAGAGTGGGTCACTCAAAACAGTTTCATCCTGGTTTTCAGCATTAATCATTAGATTTTAAGAAAATGCTAAAACTGGTCGATTTTTATTCCAAATTAAAAAATATTTTTACAATACAGACATCTGTGATGTGTCAATCCCCTCCCTTGCAGTTCTCCAATACCTTAATTTTATATAGGTAATGTACCATGTATGGCACATCATTGAACAGGTAATTCAATAGTGAATTCAAAATTATTTCTGTATATTGCGTTACTTAAATTTTATCGTTCTCTAAAGGGATAAAAACTACTACGTATTATAGAGTGTGACACTACAATGTGCAGTATATCATTAAAAAGGTAATTTTATGGGGAATTTAGAAATATGACTTCATTGCGATACTTTTAATTGTACCGCCCTCTATCGGGATAAAAAACTGTACATATTACAAAGTGTGACACCTTATTTGAAAGCAGATTTAATTACTAATTCAATGCACCACATAACATTAACATAAATATCCTCCATATTGCACTTGCAATAATTTGAAAATAAGTCATGCATTATTTTAAACATTATTGCTAACTTTATTTTGTTGCAAGTGCAATGTGGAAATATGTATATTAATGTTATGTGGTGCATTGAAATAGTAATTAAATTAGCTTTCAAATGAAGTTGCTACCGCCCCTTTTATCTGGAGGGTGCTTATTAGTAATGAAATTACCCCTTTGCTTAAATCAGACAATAGCTCAAAAAGTTTTATGAACTACCGGAGAGTGGGTGAGGGTTATATGATTTAAACTACACTTGTGTTACCCATATAATTTAATTTCAGTCCAGGATCAGTGCAGGTTAGTTTCCAGTTTGTAATTTGAGCAATAATAACAAAAAAAGGGGCTAAACCTATCAAGTTGTTTACATTGAGGTGAATGTAAGTATATAAAATTAAAGATAGATATTATTACTGAGGGTAATATATCTAAATATATTCTTTTACTATTACTAAGGGTAATATGTCTATATTTGTTTACTATTAATGTCCTTTCTTTTAGGTATTTAGTTCATATATACACAAGATAACGATATTGTCCAGGCCGGGGATAATAGGCTGAGGTTCCAGCTCAGCTTATCAGCCTTAGAAGAATAAGGAAAGTTCTTACTTGTTTGTAGTAGATCCAAGTTGTATGGGGTGGTCTCGCTTTAAGTACACAATGGTCATGCGTGCTAATAATAAGTAGACAGCAGTCTGGATGTAGCATCCACAAATACACGTGCCTAGGAGCTAGTAAGCATACAGTTATGGTTCAGCAAGTAGCTATTAATAGAGACAGGCAGTAAGACTGAAGTCCAGAGCAAAAAGCAGGTAAGCGGTAAGCGTTAATCTTTAAAGGTTCTAATTTAGCTCATGCAAGCAATTTATAGGTTTCTAAACGCAATACTAAAAGGCCTAGAAGGAAAGGCAATATAAGTAATACAAATAAGCAGAAAGGTATAGCTAAATATGGACTTACCGAATATAAGGTAGGGCCGTGCTAGGAACTACTTTATTCACAAGAAGTGCTGTCAAGACTAGACAATGTAATTTCCTAGTGATAGTTGTAATTGTCTCTTAATATATATGGCTTTATTCCGAATAAAATTCGATAAATCTGAACAGGCACCACATGAACCCAACAAATTCATGCCATCAAAGAAAGAGCCAAAAAGGAAGGAAGTTCCTTGATTTAATGGCCGACCAATATCGCCAACTATTGAAATTTTAGGGGAAAATTGCATCTGTTCAAATAATAAATCATAACCTTGCCATAGAACATTTAAGAAATGAAATAGGTCCTAATTACACTAGAAGAAGAAAGGTCAAGGTTGACAGATGATTGTCAGAATTAAATGTTTACATTTTCTGTAGGTTAACCAAACTTTAAACTATTAAATTATCAACTTCTAAATCTGTTTTATTTTCAAAAGGGTAAGTTTCATTCAACTTTATATAACTTGTGAAAATGTATATCATTTAATCGATTTATATATTTATTTTCTGCTATTTAAATTAAAACCGTAACAAAGTGTCACACTTTATAATACATTAGAGGTGTTTTATCCCAATATCCCGATTTCTGACTTTTCCATAAAATTACCTTTTCAGTAATGTGCCGTACATGATACATTCCTTATATAAAATTTAGGGGTTGAAAAAGTAGAAGGGAGGGGGATGACACATGACAGATGTCTGTATTGTAAAAAAGGGTGTTTAATTTGGAATAAAAATCGACATGTTTTAGCATTTTCTAAAAATCCAATGAATAATGCCGAAAAACAGGATGAAACTATTTTGAGCGACCCACTCTGTTTATTAAAAATGGCTAGATTTATCGAATTAGTTTATAGAATAAAATCTGCTTAAAATGCATTTTTTTACAAGATGCGTTATATAAGAAAGATCCTCCCATCGAAAAAAATATATTGAGCGCAGCGCCATCTACATATTGACCTATTTTAAATTAATTTATACCTAAAACTGAAGCTCCCTTAGCACTCTATGAATTGGCTTTTACAGAATTAAAATATCTTTATTACTTACAAAAATATCCGGCCTGGGAGTTTTTATTGGTACACCCTGTATATACTAGTAACTAATACAAAGAATTTCTAAAGGTATCGAAATGAATTTATTTAAAATTATTTAATACCAATTTTCCAAGAATCAATTAAATAAATTAAAAATAAAATAATTACTTTTTGCTATCATCGGTTATCATGACGACGTGTTGTAGACTAGGAACTTTCTGACTAGATATCTTTCCTGGTTTGCAATGGGCAATTTCTGGACAAACTTCGTTAAGTATATTGTAATAATTTTGTTTTCTGAACGTATCTCCGCAAATCAAACTTTTGATGCCAACTTTTTTAATCATCTGCTCGACTTCCTGAGGTTGGTAAAAAGGGTTCATCAAAACCTATAAATATAAAAAAAATCACTATAAATTAATATATGTTTTATAAAGTATAATAGTAAATATAATATACAAGATGGGTTATAACTAGACCTAGGAATATATGCACCCAAAAAGTAGTTAAATATGCGCATATATATGCCGCAAAATACTTCAATATATGCGTAAAAAATTGAAAAATATGCAGAGAATATGCAATAAGAGTAATTTGTTATTTGATCGAAATAGTTTATTAATATTTATTATTTGTTTTATTTTACAATACCTAATATATAATACTTAATAATTATTTAATTATTAACTAATTTTATTTACAAATCAATATTATTATAAAACAAATGAACAATTAGATGTTTTTTCAAATTATCTGTATTAAATGATTGTATCCTATCAGTAAGTACGTACTTGTACAAAGAAAAACTCCTTTCGACATCTACAGAAGTAATAGGTGCAAACTTAAATTTTCCTGAAATATCTGGATGAATAGTATTAATATCTTCAAAGTTACCAAAATAAATATTAGCAAGGTTTCTTTAAACAATAAATCCTTCATTTTTTAAAATTACATTTGAAAATTTATGAAAAATCGTCTTTCCAATATCGCCCTGGAAATTTTTACACTCTGATTCAAACGTCTTAATTAAATTTACGGAAGTCACCAAAGGTAAATTTTTTTTGTTCTAAATCTAATATAATTTTGGGTACAAATGCATTATTTTTTAAAAACACTAATTGCTTTGGTAATATGTGATTTTGAAACAACTTCTTTGTATTAGATATTCCCTTAGATGAATCATCAAAATCAAATATGATTTCTTTAATTTTTTCATAATTATCTGCGTAAAAAAAGGCAGCTTTAAGCCAGGTACCACACCGAGTAATCACAGGTTCCGGTGGTATCTGTAATTCAGAAAATTTTTCTTTGTACAAGGAGGAGCTTTAAGAAATATTTTTTTACATTACTAATTAAATCATTTATTAAAGGACAGTTAGACCTAATTTCTTCTGCAACTCTGTTAAGGCCATGAGCCAAACATGTAACGTGGATTAAGTTTTCATAAAACATTTTTAAATTTTGTGCGGCTTTTACCATGTACGGGGCAGCATCGGATAACAGCAATAAACATTTTTCTGTTGAAACGGCTTCCGGAAGAAAAAAAAAGACAATTCTGTCTGGATAAAACGAGTTATTGTCAAGTTATTTGTTTTATCTAATTGCTTTGAAGCGATTAGATATGGACCAATTTGCATTTCTTCGCGTAATGAACCTATCATTAAATGGGCTATATATCGACCACAAGAGTCTCTTGTTTCATCCACAATAATGTAGAAATGGTTTCCAACGGTAATCTCACGAATTTTTTCACGAGTCTCAATGTACAAACTGTCAACACCACGTTTGCGTAAAATACTTTGCTCTGGAATATTAAATTTACAGTATTTTTGCAAAAATGAACGGAGATTTGGATTATTTAATCGTATTTAAGGGATATTCGAAGTCACTAAAGCTTTGCATAAATCTTCATTAAAAATAGCTTGTTCACTTCTAGACGATCCAGATTGTAAATATTGTTTCAAGGGAAGTTCACTTTGTCTGCGAGTGTCTTTAGATTTTTGCTTTGCTATATGTGAGGGTGTTTTCGCGTGTTGGTCGATTTGAAACTTTTTACATGGAATCTAAAACAAATAAATTCCTGTAAATGTTGAAGTTTTAATTAAATTAAATAAATGCGTACGTTGTGAAGTTGCCCTACTTTTTTTTAGCTGTGAGTTGAAATATTATTTTACCGTCGTTTGATTTACCATTGTGAAAGGTCAAAATAAAATAAAAAAGTACTTACAATTTTAGAACATGTTTTACAAAACACCTGGTTATCACCTTCTACAACAAAATCTAAATAAGATTTTACCCACGGCTCAATTAATTTTGCCATTTTTCCCTCTGGTTAAAACAACACAACAATAAAGACTGAAATGAAGTTGAAAGTAAACTGAGTCATTTAGAAATTTAAAGATATTAATACAACTACCTGAAAGGATATTTAGCAAAATTTGTTGGTTTAAGGAGGGTGTTAATAATTTAATCCTCTCAAGTACCTACACCATTAACCGTAATTTATTACAGGGAACAGTTAATCCTTCAAAATTGTAGGAAATCGACCTGTAAAGGCATTTCACAAAATATTATTTTGGACCAAAACTCATAATTTTAATATGTCCAGCCAATTAGTACGTCAGATATATGCCAAAAAATTAACAAAATATCAATATATGTATTCAAAATCAAAAATTGTATATATATGCAACTTATGCAAAATATGGCGTCTTGCATATATTCCTAGCTGTAGTTATAACTAATGGGATATAAAGTTATTAGTAAAAAATATTAAAATCCCCCTTAAATCGACGACCGTTCAAGTTTCAAAAATCTTTACTGGGAGCCTATCAACACCATTTAAATATTACATAAAATATTTTTTGTGAAAGTAATGTTAACTCATTGTGCCAAATTAAGATTATCCCTAAAGTAGTAGATGGTGTTTTAAATGTTATAACAATTTTGTAAATAGTTTTATTCTATTCTAATAAATACAATTTGCTTGAATATTTAGTTACATTTTAATCATTTTGGTTAGAAATTTTTAGTTTTAAGAAATCAGTAATAAAATAATTTTTTTCTAAAATACTTCGAAATTCATCTCTTCATGGTAATCTTCCGTCTTTTTACCTTCAAAAACCAATAATGCATTTTCTAGAAAACCTTCAGAATCAGCATGTAAAATAATAAGATGTCTTTCCTTTCTTGTAAGGCTTTTCAGGAATTGCTACCTTTAATAGTACACAGTGTAGAAGGATCCATAATTGTAGATTTTCAATACAATTGCTTACTGTAGAACTATTATTTACGAAATAAAGTAAAAAACTAATAGCGGATTCGACTGGCTGCATTAATGCGCATTTAGTTCGACTTTTTTAAATAGTGTCTGTTCGACTGGCAAAACCTAATTAATTAAAAGTCAATTATTGCATTCGACTCAAATTGCTCGGTACCAAGGCATAGTGAAATTTTTGTTCTACTGGCAGGCGCTCTTGCTCAAAATTCGAATTTTTTGGAACTGTATTTTTTTCAGTGCCAGTGTCGTTTTGGAGGTTAGGAATTATTTATTATTTTTAAATATATTACCATCTTTGTTCTTATTATTAGTGAGAATGGAAAATCTTTGAAATTAATAGGGATTTACTTTTTGGTTTGGCAACTACAAATAAATATCGTTAAAAATTTGTTATAAACCTGAAATGTCAAGTGCTAACTGTGCCAGTCGAATAACGAAAAAGATACGCTATACCAATGTCGAACTCTAGCTCGTGCTTGCTGTGTGCACTGCTAGATATAAATTTGAATTATAAAAATGCTGCCCAAAATAAATTTAGAACTAAAAGTGCTTTGTCATCGAGCAAGAGCATTTGAGTCGAATCCGCTATAAGTAATGGATGAGATATAAAATTATAAAATGTCAGAACTGCCAAAAATATCAATTATTAGCTGATGTTCATGCTAAAAAGTAATGTGTGAAACTGACTGTAATCTGACCAATCAGAAGGCTACAGAATTGCCAACTTAAATTCAAATCGCTCCTCTTGGTTTAAAAACAGAGTATAATAGTTATAGTATAACAATCGAACTAGGATGTACTTCTCTAGTTTCAATTTTTGTACTAGTTGCATAAATAACTATTATTGTAATTGTAATAAAAATCTTAAATTACAAAATTGTGTTGCTATTTTTAATTACTTCCCACTGAATGTTTTGCAAGTCTAAAGTCGAAAAATATATGTAATGTTATTTTAGTTTTTTAAGTAATATACAAATGTTTAAATCATTAAAATTTAACTTATTAATCCAATGAATGTTTTTTGTTGGGAAACTGCTTTAATTCTTATTTAAATAAAAGCCTACGCCACTGGTATATCGATCTGGAGCAACGTAGAAGGAATATTTTAAAGTGAGGCAGACGATGACTAGTTGATGACGCCCGTGGCTTTTTCTAAGTTGAATCGTACTTTACCTAATGTAAATTAGCACGAAAAAATCCGAAGCCCTATGAAGTACGCTATCAGAACCATGAATATTTTTAAAAATATTTAAAATTAAATATAATGAAATCGATTCGACCAGGATTTAAAACTGCTGATCGCACTACAGCAGATTTGAGGGCCTTGAGATAAAATTCTAATGGTACAATTGAATACAAAATGAGATATTCCGAAGAATTCAGAACTCTACCAAACAGGATTTAAAAAAAACTATACTAGATAAATCATTACCGGCTTTTTATCGGGATCAATTAAAAATCAAAAAAGGAAAGTTTAAACATCTTTTAAAGAATACTATGAAAATGGATTAGCATAATTTTTATGACAACTTGAAACATAAATGATGTTTTTTCTTATTTTGTTAAATATTATTCCAAATAAACCTATAAATAATTGTAGTAAAATATATATTGTTACGCAGGTTTTTGGTATCTTAGTTTATTTTAACTAAACTTTTACATATGCAACTGATAACATTAATGTATAACTGAAAACTGACGTCAGGTCGTCGGCTTATATAGCTCGCCTCATTCTTCTAGAACCTTCTCGAACAATCCGGATTTTTCTTTGACAAGGAATTATGGAGGGTAGAGGAAAGGAGAACAATCTCTGTATACAAAAAGTGTCCCTTAAAATGTATACAATTAAGATGGCGCTTCTGTGCCCAGGGGACGTCGACAGTCGATAATTCAGATCACACAATGACACCAATGATGTATATAGTAACAAATATTGCTCAATCATAAAAAACTAAAAACTACACCGTGAAAAGTGACTGATCGTAGAAGAGTAAGTGTTCTGTGATCGTAGATAAATTTTGACCATACACGACAATAGTCAAATTTTATTGAAAAATAATAATATAAACAATAAATAATTCTTATATTAAAATGGCACGGAGGTCTCAATTTACTGCTTCCTGTCTGATTTCATTATGAATGAGCAATCTATATGACTATATAGCATTGGATTTTGTCCCCTGGCTACACGAGCGCCATCTTAATTGTATACATTTTGGTGGCCACTTTTTAATATAAAGATCCCTATAAGATTGTCCTCCTTTTCTCTACCCTCCATACAAGGAATGTCATTTCTAGACATTTCAGGACTATTCTATCTTTTTCATTTACTCGTACCTTTACTTATGACGACCGCAGCACGCTGCAGGATGTTGTGTAACTTAGGTCCTTTTGACATTGCTACTGCGCAGCTTTTTTCTATTTATCGTTAATCTCTACCGTGTTCTCTACACAATACCGTTTTTTCCGTTTGACTCTGACCAATAATAGCAGAGATACACGCTTAGGCCCTTTTGACTTTGACATTGCGCATGATTTTTCTATTTAACGTTAATCTATACCACGTTTTATACATAATGTCGTTTTTACCCGTTTGGATATCACCAATAGTAGCCGAAAAACACGATTAGGTCCATTTGGTATTGCTACTGCGCAGGATTTCTTTTCAACGATAATCTATATACGTTCACGTAAACGATGGCTGCCATCTTGGATCACTTAGCCGAGCCGCAAACCACTTCCCATTGTTCGAATTTATGATTTTCTGCTGGTTGTCCGCGCGGAGCAAACGTTCGAATCCAATTGAGCTAAACCACGCTATAGTCTATTTTTATGTATAAGAGAGTATTAAAATAATAAAGCGTTCGTAATCCATAGCCGAACCACTTCTTTAAGTAGACAGTTTAAATATTTTTTGAAGTTATTCCTCGAGTATACACTTATATTTTCACCTAATTAACCTGCTTATAACTTCTAAACAGCTGAAGGTAAAAAAGTGCAATTTTTTCTAAAATGTTTTATTTTTCCACAAGGTATGTTAAGAACATTTTGTCAAACGGGTTATGTAGGTATAAGGGTTTAAACTTTGACTTTTAGACAACGTTACGTACATAAATAATAATTTTAATATAAAAACTATTTCTTACCTACAAATCCAAATCAGAATCGAAATCAGAAGATGAACTGTCGCAACCAATATTTACAATGAGTGGCTCGATTATTTCATCAGCAATATTGTCCAACTTCCACATTTTCTCTTCTTCTTTAATCGTATGATTTACTGCCTTTTCCCAGTTTTCAGGCTTCACATTATTTACAGCCTCCAAAAACAACTGTTTAACATCACTCATTTTAAAAGAATAATTTTTTCTTGAAACTTCTCCCTTTATCTGTGCCCATATCAGTTCAATCGGGTTTATTTCGCAATGATATGGTGGTGATCTAACTACTGTCATCTCACGATTTTTTGCAATTTCATCAATTTCATATTTTTTGAATTTCTCTTCATGAAGGTAACAAAAATGATATAGTTCTTTTCTCACAGAACTGGGATGGAACTTAATATTCTTTGAATTTAGCCAATTCTGTAAATCTTTTTTTAACCACTTGGTTGTGGGCATTTTTTTCTATAAGTCTTGAGTGATAACTTGCATTATCCATTACTCTTATACAGTTCTGAGGAAGAAGATCTATAATTTGTTCGAACCACTCTTTAAAGACATCAGCATTCATGTCCTCATGGTAGTCACCGGTACGAGTAGATTCAAAAGTCAATAAACCACCTTTAACAAAACCGTTTGAACTACCGATGTGTACAATTATTAGTCTGCGCCCCATCCTGATGGTGGATTTAAACCAGTAGATAAATTATTTAAAAAAGCCTGTCTTCGACTTGTAACAGTTTCATCTTGCCAAAATTTATTTGGTTTATGTCCCTCGTTGATCCATGTTTTATCTAAATAAAATATATTTCTTCTTTGGTTTCTCATTTCTTTTATAGTCCTTAGGTAATTTCTTGTCCATACTACAATATCGCTTATTTCTATTAAAATAGACTTTCTGGAATGCTTTTTCCATAGAAAACCTATTTCTTTTAAAAGTTTCCATAATATGCTTCGACTCATTTCAGGGTAATCCTTATCATCTCGAACCGTGGCAAGAATTTTGTCTACTGTCGGAAATTCTTACCTATAGAAGAACGCATGCACTTTCCTTCGAAGTCTTTCTTTCAAAAGATTTTCTAATTGAAATTTTGGTTTTCCTAGAGCTTTACGTGCTGTTTGAAACTCACCACATTTCTCTTCTTTAACAACTCTGTAAATCGGTAGATTTCCCAACATCAAGCGTAATACTAACTAATTCCACTGTGTCATCAACACTTTTACATAAATGTTTGTCTGTTAATGATTTAAAACAATTAAATATTAATGTTTTTGTTTAAGGACCGATTTTTTGTCGTTTACGCGGCCCTTCCAAATTTTTCATGATCACACTAGAATTCACACTGCACCTTGCAAGTTGCAACTAAACGACATTTAGTAAACTGTCAAGAATACACAACTTGGACCTCCTTACTAAATGGAAAACCTATAATCGCATTTTCGGTGAAATTTGTTGGGAAGGTATTTATCTACTTACAATTCGATTACTGTAAGAAATTCTTGGAATTAAAATAAAACAAAATTGGCAAATAGGTACTTATTAAAAATAATCTTAAGATACGGCTATGTAATCTTTAATACACAGGGCTTTTGGCCTGTCCAAACCTTTTTCTATTGTTCTGTACAGCTTATGTTTATAAAGGACCAATAAAAGACCCAAAACTTGTAATAGCTCAGGTACATTTATTACAATTTTAGGAAATATTTAGATTATTCTGTAAAAATATTTAAAATGACCGTACTAAGTTTTGCATTAGAAATGCTGTTTTATTACTCTCTCATACATAAAAATAGATATAACCCAAGTTGTATCAGAACAGGATATGATTAGCCAAACAAACGTAAAAATGAATGGAATGAACGGCTCTAAAAAAAAGTGACTATGCAATGAGTGTTATCTCAATATACTAGTGCATGCCTTGTATTATCGACATGTTTAAACAACAATGTTGTAGTGCTACTTACCGCTACAAATCCTCCTCTAGCGCAAGCGACGTAAGCCAAATACCATTCAACCAAATTCGGTGCCCACAAACCAATTTTATCTCCACGTTGCAGTCCTAAATTGGCAAAACCAGCTGCTAATCTGTCGGCCTCTTCCAATACTTCTCCGAAAGTTACTTGTTTCTTCTGATGGCAGGATATAATTGCAGGTCTATCTCCATATTTATAACTGGCTATTTCGGCAAGCTGCCCCAAAGTCACTGGTTTCAATGGAAAGTCGCTTGTTCTATGATAGTAACTTTGTTTGGTGCTGAAGTTTTGCATCCTTTAAATAAAACAATTTTTTTATTACAAACAAACAAAAATCTCGTCAGAAACATTGCTGAAGATTTGGCATTATTTATTATAAGGAATAAATTTAGTAATAAAAAACATATTGTTATGTGAGCCATTTCATTATTCAGTCATGCTTTAATCCTCCAAGTCCCTCTCTGTCTTATTTGGCCTTTGAGGCTCAACTTGTCTGATTATCATACATAATTAAACCCCTTAAGACCAAACATATGTGACGACTATGGCGGACTATTCGAGAAAGAACGGGATAATGTTTCTAGTGTATTGGAGAAAATGGGTGAACTTTCTAGTTCATTCGCCAAACTTTTAAATTTGTATATGTTACGGTTAAAGTGTTTACTTGGCTAGTTTATAGACTAGCTGGATAGTATACAAACTATCCAAATGTCCTGCTATTTTGATGGAAAATCATATTTCTATTAAAATAGCTATGAATATTGGTTGATTTGTATACTAACCAGCTAGTTTACAAACTATACAATATTTCTCACCAAAGTACAAACCACAAGAAAAGTACACAAATTAACTGACATTTTGGGCTAGTTTACAAACTATCCACAGTATTTGGATAAAGTGTGAACTAAATATTCGTAGTAATACATAATAACCAGCTCGTCGGTTAGTATGTAAACTAACCAATTCTCTTCGATTAATTTATTAGAAAAGTGAGGTTATAGTTATGGCAAGTGTTTGTTATTATTGTTTACTACTGTGGTGCCTTGTGAAATTTGTTTAAAAAAAAGTTATTAAAAATTAATCAACAGCAACAATTTGAAAACCTACTTTTGGAAGTTTACGAACAAAAGTCGCAAAATTCAAAAAAATTAATGAATGACAGTGATTAAAGTGAACTTTTGCAATGTATAAAAAGAATACGCGAAACTGGACCTAACACGAGTAACAAAAATTATTATTACGTGGTAAATACTTATGATTTATAGAGAATCGATTCATCTTATGTAATTTTACATAAAAAATCTGAAAAGATTATTTTACGTTTGAGTGAATATTATGATGCCATTAAAGCTACCCATCAGGGAACTGGGCATGGAGGTCGTCAGGCAATAACATAATTATTAAATAAAAAGTATTATAACAACACAGGAAACGGTTAAATTATTTATTGAAACTTGCGAAACATGTCAGCTCAAACAGAACAAAACTAAGAAAGGTATTGTTGTGAAACCAATTGTTTCAAATCATTTAAAGGCTCGGCGCCAAATCTGTCTCATTGACTTACAAACTAGACCGGATGGTGACTTCAAGTTTATTTTTGTCTATCAAGACCACCTAACTAAATAAGTCAGGTTGAGAGAACAAAGAAGGCTAGAGAAGTAGCTGAACACCTATTAGAAGTATTTGCAGACCTAGGGAGCCCTTACGTGCTTCAGAGTGACAACGGCCAAAAATTTGCAAATGAGGTTGGTGTTTTTCCAATATGTAGGTATAGAGTGGCCAAAAAACAAATAAAATTTAATCTAAATTCCTAGAATGAAATTATTTAAACAATCAATAATCTTTATTTAAATATATGAATAAAGTACCCAAGGCAAAATCGAATAGGTGGTTCATTGGATAAATGTTCACTTGCCATGCGGTCAGTCCAAGTATTTTTTAAGTTAAATTAGGTGCCAATATATTTATTTTTTCCAACAAAAATAATAATAATAAATTTTGTTACTCGTGTTAGGTTCAGTTTCGCGTATTCTTTTTATACATTGCAAAAGTTCACTTTAATCACTGTCATTCATTAATTTTTTTGAATTTTGCGACTTTTGTTCGTAAACTTCCAAAAGTAGGTTTTCAAATTGTTGCTGTAGATTAATTTTTAATAACCTCTTTTTAAACTTTCACAAGGCACCACAGTAGTAAACAATAATAACACACACTTGCCATAACTATAACCTCACTTTTCTAATAAATTAACCGAAGAGAATTGGTTAGTTTACATACTAACCGACGAGCTGGTTATTATGTATTACTACGAATATTTAGTTCACACTTTATCCAAATACTGTGGATAGTTTGTAAACTAGCCAAAAATGTCGGTTAATTTGTGTACTTTTCTTGTGGTTTGTACTTTGGCGAGAAATATTGTATAGTTTGTAAATCAACCAATAATTATAGCTATTTTAGTAGAAATATGATTTTCCATCAAAATAGCCGGACATTTGGATAGTTTGTATACTATCCAGCTAGTCTATAAACTAGCCAAGTAAACACTTTAACCGTAACATATATAAATATTGGTGGAGGACCAAGCTGTATCAGTTATTATATGGACAGTGAAGATAAATAGTCAACAGTTTTAAAACTTTCGAAATATATATATATATATATATATATATATATATATATATATATATATATATATATAAATTAGAATAATAGTGTTATAAAATAAATAAGTGTTTAAATAAATAATAAATTTGCTTCGCAACATGTCCGATGTCAAAAACGAGAAATGATAAAAAACTTAAAAATTTTAAGCCAAAAATCAAGCTCTATAAGGGGACAAAGCCTATTGATTTTTAAAAATTCTGATTTAAAATAGGGGGTTAAGATGGGTTAAAATTAAAATAAAAATCCTAAATTAAAAACGATAAGCAATATCAATATGAAATTTTTAGTAAAAATGAAGCTTTATAAGAAGATAAAGCCTATTGATACTGAAAAAAATATGAATATATTGAGGAGTTAAGGGGGGTTAAAATATAAAAAAAATCCTAACTGAAAAACTTGAATTTTTTTAGCAAATATCAATCTCTAAAAGCTGAAGAAGCCCTTTCATTATAAAAAAAATCTGATTAAATATGGGGATTTAAGGGGGGTTGAAATTAAAAAAAAAAATAAAGTCTATAAGGAGATGAGGCCTATTGATTGTGAAAACAATCTGCTTAAAAATGGGGGTTAAGGGGGTCTGTTAAACTGCGAAGAGTATCATTTAAAATGCCAGGCATTATATATCTTTATTCTAGGTTGTGTCTGTGTAATATTATTTATTGTGATGGGACTGATCTTATAAAATAAACATTTAAAACATTTTAGTTCTTATTTTATTTGCCAATAAAAGGTATTTAAAACATATATTTTTTATTTGACATCTGTGATAAATTGTGAAAATGATTAAACTTACAATAAAATCTAAAAAATGGTAGGTAAAGTTTTATATAAAATTTTTTACACAAAAATCAATGTCAAGCTTTCTACATAACATGATATATATTTAAAAATATTCTTAAATTATGAAGAAAAGTCAGTTTACTAACTAATAATGTTTATAGATGGTTTTCAACGTATTAAAAACAAAACAAATATCACACTAACTAAAATATTCATTTAATAATTATTGTAGTGCTTTAAAACAGTATGATGTTGATAATAATAACTACACTTAATATAAACTCAATTAATAAAAAAAGCGATATTGACTCTTGTATAAAATTTTGATCCGAACTTACATATGATAAAAATGTAAATGTAAAAAATGAACACCCATTTTCAATTACCACAAGCCGCCACTGAGCATAACCAGACGTTAACACCAAACCAAAATAGACTTAACCGCCAAAGAAAAAATGAACGTCCTAAGCGCCAAATTTTAATATAAAAACTAATATAAAGTGTTACTTAAAGTAATTATATGGCAAAATAGGTTTTCTTTATTATAGTTAATCACATGATTATAAAACAAGAATGAGAAAACCTTCTACTCAAAAAATTTGTGTTTTTCCATTCTCCTCAACAATTTACTAACTGGCGCTTACGTCGTTTATAAATTTTAAATTACAGTTGAATCTAATTAGATTACACTTACTTATAAACCTATGTATTCAGCGAAAATAGATAATAACACAAAAGATGTATTTAACACATTAAAGGAAAAAATCGCTATATAATAAAACAAGTTTAGTCTAAACTGATAACGACTTCATAATTAAATTAACTCAGTAGTTTTTAGTAAAGTAACCGGAACCGATTAATTAATAATGTTGTTGATAGAAATGTTTTAACTTTAAAATAAACATTAATTAAAAATCTAATAGCTGCATAGATGCTTATTAATATAGCAATGGTTAACATAAAAAATAAATTAATACAAAAAAATATATACTCATTTATATTAATTATCTACCGGGTGAGTCACTAAACTTATACTACCCTATTGATGCCAAAAGGCCGTGAACGGACTCACCAAACATCGTAGGGTACTTTAGAAACGAAAGAAAAACGTTACAGTCTGTTCGCTATACTTACGCGGGTTTCAAATTAAAAATGTTATAAGTATTTCCAGGTAAGTACCCGAAAGTTTGACCTATTCTTTGGGGAAATATCAACTGGTTAAATGAAATGAAAAATAATGTGCAACTTTTTAATTAAATAATAATGGAGAATCTTTTGTATTGAGAGCAGAATTAAACTTCTTCATTAATGGAGTCTAATGTGGCTATTATAAACCTAATAATAATTTTATATATATTTCAGAATAGTAAGGTGCATTGTCTAAAATAATTAAGCTGGGCTCACTTAAACCTGGGAGAAGTTTTTCATGCAACCATTTTACAAACATTTCTGTGTTCATATTATCGTGATAGTCACTGGATTTTGATTTAGATGAAAATTTCACACCTGTAATTTTGAACCAATCAAAATACGTGTTTTTAACAGATCACCATGGCAACGGAGGTATTTTAGTGGAAATTTTTTTCCCGTGGGGTACCCTACAGCGAATTATACTGAAAATTTTTTGACGTTTACAATAACAGACCATTTTTGACAGACTGGTTTTTATTTGTTCACATAATAGGTTTAGTTTTGATACATTTTAGTTACAATGCTAAGGTGTTTTCTATATTCTTCGGCCACTTCTTTTCTTCTTAATGGCGAAAATGCAGGACTTTGGATGCTTTGAATTATGTGTCTATGTCTAATAAAATATATATAATATTTAGACACTAATTTATTCACCTT